ATTTGCACAAACGGTGTGCTATCTCGAGACACCGACCACGGATTGCAAAGGTAGCGGTTGGGACAGCTCGGGCAAAATGTTACTTGTTGTGCGCAAGTTTTAGTTTGCAATTTGGTGCCGAGATGGTGAAATGGGCTCGAGTCTGCTGTGTATTTAGGGCGCGCAGACACCAGACACCAGACAACAGACAGACAGCCATCGTGTAATTTTCCCGCCCCTGTCACGAAAATTATTATTTTTCTCGTGCGCACATACTCCCCCCCCAATCCCTCTAAACAGCTTTTTTTTTGTAAAAACAAAACAAAAAGCGTACCCCTATCGGGCCCCACTTTTAAAAAAAAAAACTATTATTAAAAAAGTAGAGGAGGGCAGAGCTAAGGAACAAGTGAAGAAGCGAGGCCCCCTTGCCGCTCTGACCCACCGAAAGCTTTCCATGTACTGCAGCAAACAGCAGGGGCAGCACCCGCTACCTCACATGCAGTAGCCGCGTACACGGACTCGCAAGTAGTAGAAGTTAAGTCTCTTCTCCCGCAAGAACAATAACGCTGGGAGTACTTGAACTTGAAATCACAAGAAATAGCGTTATAATGACGTATTTCATTCTGCTTGCCGTGGGAGATGCGCATCATTACGCGAGGAAGGCGTTAGCTCCTCCGCTGGAATATGCTGCCGTAGACCCTATTTCTCAAGCTAAACCACAGCAGCTATACCCAATATATGGTAGCATCATATCCAGCTGGAGAATAATCGAAGAAAAAAGCTGTTTTCTTGGTGGCGAAGCGAACCCCCTTTATTGTGACGCTCCAACTGCTGTTCGTGGATGGCGACATGGCGACACAGACAGACAAAATCTAGGGTTTGACGTTGGTCTTATCCGCCGCAGCAGTTGGAAGCTTTTTTTTTTTGCCTTCCGACAAATGCAGATGTACCTCAGAAAACTTTCACTCAATGTCTCATACTCTACATGAATATTAAACCAATACGAAGTACAACAACATATGTAGGACTTATTTCTCTCCTCTTCAATTTGAAATAAAACCGATGACAATCTTCATGGTATCCTCCATGCGTTCGTAAGCTTGCTAAAATACTACTGCGTTGATGTCCGCTTGTAAAAGCTGAAATCCAACCAATGCTTTGATCCATGCTACATCTCCGTGTTGGAAAAGCCCCTTCTTCTCCGTTCATGATAACATCTTACCCTATTCTACGCAAATCTGTCATATCTACTCTCAAACAAGACGCCAACTTCGCACGAAAACGCGTTCTACGATGCGTCTACACTCCATCCCCATATCATTGGCGTTGACTGGTTCGAGGTCGATCTTGTTCGCCTGTTGTCGGCGTCTTGACGCCCGCGCAATGCGAGTTTGTACCTCTGCACTCGCCGAGATATGGCCACCTGTGTAGCCACCGAAACGATCTGAAGAAGTCGTTCGTTGAAGACTCCTTTCAGAGCCATCGTTCCTCCGTCCCTTCCTCCCACGGCATATGTCGCAAGTTCATCGATGAACTCGTAACCCTCCTCTCCAAGGCGGCCAAAGCTTTCCACGGCTATGGTGGTAAGTTTTAAGCTGCGTTCGACAAAGGCGTGTCCCGGACGAGCGTAGTGCTGACGCTTTCGCGCCTCGGATGCTTGGGCTGCGGTTCCATCGCTGGTCGCGCTGCCGTTCCGCAAGTGTACCTGTGCTTGCGGGTCTGCGTTTGTGACATCGAGGAGTATTCCTTTGTTGCGGTACCCCGGAGAAGATGCGTTCGTGAGGGCTCCTGGCCTGATGACGATGTCCATGCTCAGGTTTCTTTCCCCCGTGAACGGTGCCCCGCTTTCAACATCGTGTTTGACGCGAAGGCCGTTGAGTGCTCTCGATAGTGCGTATTTTAACGGCTCGTGCATGTTGACCTGTGCTCCATCCCTTGGACAGGTCCTTGCGTGCACCGTTGTGATGATCTCGCCTTCCCTGCCTCTGTGGCACCTGGGACATCTTTCCGCCAAGAATTCTTCAACTCCCAAGGCGCGTCTCGTCGCGTAGACGAATTCGTTCGATGGAATCTCTCGAGCTCGGTCGGTGGGAGCCGCTCTCAGGAACGCGTGTCCCCCTTACCCTTGCGAGCTTCTCGTTCGCGCGTTTGCCATGTTCCTGGCCTCTTGACCTCCGTAGGGGTTGTC